AAATGCCAGGCAACATATCTGACACCTACTGATCTGTTTATTTCAAATAGCCTTTCTCCCAAACCAGTATGAAGGTTATCTACATTTCAGACTTAAGCAACCAGATTCCACATGAGCTAATAAATTACCTATGTTATATATTTTGTCCTATCTTTTCACTCAACTTAATATTATAAGCATTTTCCAAGTCACTAAACTGTATTTGAAAAACCTTAAAGACACAGAATATAGCTATCTAATTACATAATGATTATGTAAACAGACTGTTATATGTATCTAATCCTTAATTATTGAATACTCACTAGCATTAATAACTGAATTGTTTAAACTTTGCTAATTATATAGATGTCATGCAAGATTCAAGCTAGAAAATTATTGTTACTGTTGAAACACTTTATTTTTAAAATTGATTTCCCAAAGAGTAATATATAAAAACTTATGCCCCCTCAAATAAGTATAATGAAATATAATTATTCTTAGCCAGCCACATTTATTAACTTTAGAGTGGCAATTTTATTTCCTGGTGACTAAAACAACAGTTTGGTAAACAAGACTTATCTCTTCATTTGTTCACTCTTAAACATCACTCCATAACATTTACAATTGGCCGAGGGGGCCCAGATTGTCCGGACACAGGTGCCACTTGGGAAATCTGCACCCTCATCTCTCCCTGCCTCCTCCCATCATCAACAATAGATACAGATTTGACTCACTATTCAAATGGATAATGACATAAGTCCTTGGGAACATCCCTTAGATGATCCTGTAACTGCAGGACATCCCCAATGAAACTGAATTTATTCTCACCTCAGCAGATCCTTGGATTTCAGAAACCCCTGAGACTTTAAAGGTTAGAGTGAATGGACACTGGCAAAATGTAGTGGGGCAAAATATAGAGGTAGCACACCTTCTGAATCTTTTCATAAAAGTACAGTGGGAGGATTTTCTACCCATTGTGGGGGGGAGGGATTTGTCTTCTGTATAATTTTGTCTACTACAACGTTTTGAAAAGAAGAGCTCTGACTCCAAATGCCAACCATGTATAAACACCTTTGTTTTATAAACCCAGAGGCATCTAACATTTTTAATGAAGATAAAAGTATGTAGAAAACAATCACATTTATTTTCAATCACAGTTTACACCAAAGTAATTGAAAGTAAAACTAATTAAACAAGAAAACATCAATTAGATATCTGTTCTCTCTCTTGTCCAATTATATTGTTTTATTGCCAATGTTTCATAATTGTTGCCAAGCAATTTTTAAATCCTATCATTAATTTTCCAGAGAAGTCTTATGTTTGGGACTCTAAAGTATTTCGCTAGGTATGCTGCTGCTGAAATTATGTCCTTCTTACAAACAGGTGTTGTAAGTACATTTGATTTTTAAAACATCCTGACCTGTCAGAAACATTTGAGCTCATAGAAATCTAATTCCTGGAAGTCAATCATCATAGTTGCTCATGAGTGCTTTGTATGATAGCTGAGTGGAGACTTAACCGAGTTACTATGGGCACCACTTCCCTCCACACCCCAGTCTCAGCAGGAGAGACAACAGCTTTAAAAACAAGTTGGTTTCAAGTGTAAAGGAAGCCAAGGTCATGCCATGTAATGGTATTGCTGAGAATGGAGGTATAAAAGGAATGAGGTATCTGTAAAAGTGGTCTCTGGCTCTTTAAATGTATTCTATCAATATTTTTGTTCAACCCTCCTCTCACCTTTCCCTTCTGAACTTAGCTATCATTAGGTGATACATGTAATAGAATGCTGTTTTTAAAAATAATTTCCAAGTAACAAAATCTTATATGCTGTTTTATATAGAGCTGTGCTATATGTGTCATTCCATATGTAACTACACATGTGGTGATCAGTGTCCTTAATTATGACATTACTCCTTTTGATATATTTTTCCCTTATTCAGCCTGATAACAATAATAGCCTAATCCTAACCATAATGAATTTTCACTCCTGTTTTGTTAGTACATCATAAACCTTTATACCCATTTTCTGGACTTCCATAGCCACAATCTCATTAATATTTATAACTCTCCTGACAGAAATTCTAAGAATTACTTTAAACATCTTAAGATCATGTAGTACAGGCTCAGAAAGATTATATCTACTCCCAGCCTTACAAGGCTAGTAAACAAGTGAGAGATGCCAGAATTCTTTCCTTACGCCTTCCCATGAGCCTGTCCAAACAACCACACTACAACTGAGTTTTCCTGGGATTCCTTCATATAAGCCCCCCCAACCCCAGAATTTATTTATAAACAATTGTTATTTATTCTTACATGTTTAAACTTCAGTCACCTTCAAAGCACTCTCCATTTGATGCAATACACCTATTGAGACTTTTCCACTGTTCAGAACAGTGTTTGAACTCATTGCTTCAAACACTTTTAGTGCTTCTGCCATTTTTTATTTTACCACTTTCATGTTGCCAAACTGTTTTCCTTTGAGGACATTTTTCATCCAGGGAAACAAAAAAAAAAAGTAGCTTGGGGTGAGACTGGGTGAATAGGAGTGATGGGGCACAGGGTTCATACCATTTTTTTTTGTTAAAAACTGCCAAACAATGAGTGCAGTGTGGGCAGGTATGCTTGTAAATCACCCATCAAGAAATGGTCAAATGTGTCCAAAGAGTTTTCAAAACAAATTCACTGAAGCCAAACACAGCCTCTCATATTACCACCAGTTGGTACATTTATACAGATGGGTTCCTAGAACACTCACCTGATGAGGAAAGCCTGTAGGGGCCCATCCACCAGAAAGTAATTCCAGTTTTTTGGGGGGTCCCCCTTTGTGTTTATGTAAAGGACACAGGATTTAGTACTTGAAAATTATCTTGCATTGCTCTGGAATGATGTCTCTTGTACTTTATCTTTGAAAATATATTTAAAAATCTTTCTAAGATGAACATTTTTGTGCCAGCCCTTTAATACTACACAGTGTATTAGTAGGCAAGGGGAGGAGATAAGAAGAGGCCATTTTTTTGCCTGATAGAATCTCTTTTACCCTTTTTGGATCTAGATTGTCTACTAGTTCTTCTTGCTTTCACTTCCTAACATTCTTTGTTTCAGTTTCTGAGAGGTTTTTGGTTATTTGCTCTCTCAGATCCCCAGTCCAATCCTCATACCACTTCACCTGCCATGGTTCAACTACCCAACAATAACTTAATATTTGGCCCATTTGCCTGTGATCACACTTACTTTAGGTTTTTAAGTTTGGTCACATCTTCAGACTGAGCTGATGGCATAACTATGTACCCTTTCTGGACATACTGTCTAGTCAGACTTTTTCCTGCTTGAACAACTTCACATGACCTGTGCATTAGTGCAGCATACTTAGGGCTGAGAAAACAGACCACATGAAGTAAGTCCTCTGCTTACAGAAACTCCACATTCCTTCCTATTATTGGGCTCCATAGTTGCCCATGATTTCCTGTTTTTTCCTACAGCCATTGAACATTTCTGGTTTTCTAGCATTTTTCCTTAAGAAATCTAGAGGAATAAATCTGTCAGATTCATCTTTGTAGTAGAATGTTGATTTATGAATGAATTGTTGATATATTGTTGGTATTATATAATTGGTAAAACTGTAGATATTTGTGACACAGATAAGCATCCTAAGAAGATGGCTTGACAAAAATCTAAAAGAACTTATTCAGAATTATTAAAGCCCATCATTTTTGATTTGCCTTGTTGGGAGAAGGTAACTTCTGCCTAGAACAGGTCTCCATAACCCAGAGGTAAAATGACTAATGCAACCCAGCAAACAGAAAACAAACTTGAGTTGTACTGAAATGGGTTAATGGTTTAAATTCTCCACTGGTCCTTGTTAGTTACACCAGGAAAAAACATCTGTCTAGTTAAATGATTGATGTTGGAACATCTTTGTCATAATAGCCAAGAGTACTATTATGATAAATTTGGCTAGGTTTCAGAGTGCAAATTCACAGCTAGTTAGCAGGACTCAAAAAAGATGTAGGAAGTTGTATAACAGCTGCAGTTATACTGAAAATCCCATAAATATCAATAGTCTTTCGGCTAAGATCATACTTTTTCATTCTGTAGCCCCTCAGGAAGTTATTTCTAGTTACCAACAGCACATTCGATAGAAGCAGATCTGTACCTAATTCTTAAGCATAATGAACCTAATTTCCTTCTCTTGCAGGAAGGTACTGAGAGCATCTGACACACTTGCTCCATGTTATAACCATAGCTTGTATTTTACAATATGTAAGAATTATCGAAAAGGTAAAATCTGTGTGCTGCATCCAATGTAAACTTTCCACGTAAAACAGGAAATTTTGACATGGCTAGTTTGTCACCTTCATAGTGCTGCTATACACGTTTTGTGACCCGCCCCCCCGCCCGCAACCCCGCTAAAGTACTACAAGTTTAGAATGGATCTGGTTACCAAGAGATGGGCACATTAGATATCTTAATATCACTGACTCTGTCTCTTTGCCAGACTTCGACTGTTCTCGACCTCCGCTGCAGACTCCAGTGTTCAGGAGATCAGAAAACAATTGAAACCACTGACCCGTCCATTTCATCCAAGGCTCCTGAGTCAAGAGTGGAATTTTCTGTGGTGCACAGATCAGGGGCAGAAGGCTACAGCAAGTATATTCTCTCACCATATTGCCCCATCTCTCCCTTTCTAGGCCACTGATACAGTCAGCCAACCATGCAGATTTTGTGTCTTCTAGGCTCAGCAGCAAGGGGCCACCGTGAGCACAACCACCCTGAACATCCGAACGATGCACTCTATCATTCTAGAAACAACAAGGCTGAGGCAGGGCTAGTGGGCTGCGGGTCTCTAAAACAATGCCGTGCTCAGACTAGAATCTTCAGGCTCAAAGGATGCTGCTGCAGGTGCGCGCGGGCCCTCAAGAGGGCGCGTGGTTTGAGATCAGCGGCTGGTGGGTGCGCATGCGCATCTCTGGCTTCTCCTGCCGGGTGCCACCTCCGCCACCGAGGCTGGTCTTCTCACCGCCATGTCAGATTACTACTCGCCCAAGTACCAGAGCGGAGACCTGGTGTTCGCCAAGTTAAAGGGCTATGCCCACTGGCCTGCCAGGATCGAGCACATGGCCGAACACAACCGATATCAAGTGTTCTTCTTTGGGACCCACGAGACCGCTCTCCTGGGCCCCAAACACCTCTACCCGTACAAGGAGTGCAAGGAGAAGTTCGGCAAGCCCAACAAGAGAAGAGGCTTCAGCCAGGGGCTGTGGGAGATCGAGAACAACCCCACCGTCCAGGCCTGCAACGACCATCGCCCCAAAGAGAAGATCATCTCTGAGGGGCCAGCGCTAGTGCCACAGCCTGAGGCCTCCGAGGCCCCTGAGGCCCAGAAGAGTGATGCCCATGGCGTAGAAGTGAACGGCGAGCTGGGCATTGACGAACTGGGCCAGGAGCAGGACGAGGTGGGTCGGCTGAAGAGGATTGCGGAGGAAATGCTAGAGGATGCCCCCAAACGTCCCAAGGAGTCTGACCCAGAAGGCAAAGAGGAGGAGGTGGCAGCTGCCTGCGAGGATGTGAGGCCACTCCTGGTGAAGGCACTGGAGCCAAGCCCTGCCTGGGGGCCGCTACAGGAAGAGGGGGAGTTGCAGGAAGAAGCCCCTGAGGTGGAGGAGGAAGCTGAGATCCCGGGCGACGGAGACCGGGAGAGCCTGTAGTCGCCAAAGTGTCAACAAGAGCCCCTGCCCTGTTCCTGATGTGGCCATGGCCTGTGAACTGGGACCACCTCCCCAAGTCCACCCACTATCCTCCACCTTCTCCCAAATCCACACCTGGCCTTGAGGCTGACCTGGATGGGCAGGCTACCTGTCCTTCATCTCTGTCCCCACGTCCCTGAGGTCTGAGTCAGGGCCTTCGCATCACTGGATGAGACCACTGTGTACCTTCCTGCCTGGAACTGTTGTCCAAGTCTTCTGTTGGGGCCTGTACCGGTCGTTCCCACGTCCTGACACCCATCTCTCCCTCTGCCAGACATTCTGGACCTCTACGTTGGGATTGGGCAGGAGTGGAAGCGGTGAGGATGAAGAGCTGGAGGGATTTCCAGAAGCCTGGAAGGGGCAATCCTGAAACTGTGGTGGTGGGTGGATGGTGGCAGGAGCGTGACATCTTCCTGAGTACCTGTTCACTCCTCCCTTACATATTGTATCAGCTGCCTAGAGTTAGGAAAAGTAGGGCAGCTTGTGGGGGAGGGTCTCCCTTCCAAAACTCTTCTTTGCTGGCCCAGGGAGTTCTGAGAGTTGTAGTTTTTCAACAAATGATTTTTGAATTCCCAAATTGTTTATGAGAGAAAGGCTTAGCTTTGCCCAGCTTTTTGGATGGGAATGGTGAGGAGCATCTGTCCCCATTTAGATCTCTGGGAACACCTGGATTGTCCTGGGAAGACCCCTGGCCACCCTTCCTCTCTCCCCACAGCCTCAAGGCCATCCCACAGTCATATACATCACCACATGAAAGACAAGGCACATAGTTTAGGAAACCTTTTTAAAAATAGGAAATTTTTTGAAAATTAAGAACTACCCCTCACTATACCTCCATTGGGCCCATAGCTCTTCCATTGCTATCCCCATTTCTTAGATGAACTAGGAGGTGGACAGAAGGGGACTTCTGTTTGGGGTTTGATGTCTTTTTGTAGTTAAGGCTTTGGTGTGCCTTTGCAGTGTCATTTCCCATCCTCATCTCCCAACCTGGTACCTCAGTATTGCAACTAGACCTGACATGTAACCTACTGAGAAGAAAGAGAAATAAATGACCCCTCCTGACCTCCTACTAGTGGTCTCTCTATGCCCTTCTCATTTTTGCCTTTTTTACCCCCAACCTTCTCCCTTGGGCTCTGATAAAAACAAAACAAAACAAAACAAAACAAACAAACAAAAAAACCCCTGTTGACTACTTATCTTTGAAAGTTTAGATATGAAGTATTTTAGTTCTAGGAAATAAAACGCATTGATTATGTTAAACAAATCTCAGGTCTCTTTCTTTGGTTTCTGAAGAATTGGCCCTTAAATGTAATGCTCCTCTTTTCTATACATCCTGTGTAAAAACAATTTTTTTGTAATATACATAGATATTTTAGAATCACCCTTGATAAACTTTTGTTGTATTACGATCTCTACTCCTCCTCACTCCATCTGTAGTAGTCACTTTCACTGATTAGAATGAATGGCAATAAGTCAACAGAATATCTGAATGATGACAAACTGAGACAATAACTCAATTTCTAATATTCTACATGCTTTGCCAAACAACAGATCTGGCAAAGAATAAGGGTAAGAGAATCGGATCTTCTATTAGTTGTTGCTTTTCCAGATTTTATCACTAGTCTTCCTTTAACACTTTTTACGTGAAAAAGGCAGTAGCTTTATATTTCTAGTTCTTAAAATATGTAGTATCTGCAGGATATTTTGTCTTTTCAGTGTCGTTGTGTGACTATCTGGGGATATTTAAATATAGTTAATAATAATCACATGCTGGCTTCCAGATTTTGTATGTGTCAATGTTGCATGCATGCAGAGGTTTAGTAAATGCTAGAATCCACATAGAACATGCCAGGCCATGACTAACCAACAAGATTGCCAACTAAACACAACCCTATTTTTCCATCTCTGTATAAGATGGTATTTTTTATTCCAAGGCCTATAAAATTGCATAATTCCTTGTTTTCCAACTACTGCTATTGCATGGTAGGAGTTACTGTTCAATGGCTGTTCATCATTCAGGCTTTGTAATATCTGGCATGGTAGGCATTAGTATTACATTTGCTACTGGAAGCAGCTCTCATTCAGAGAAGTTAGATGACTTTTCTTGTACTTCTCAAGAAACTCAGGATTTAAATACAGATTTTTCGGAGCCAAGCCTAAGCTTTGCCACCTGAATTGCACATTCAAACCATTAAGCATGAAATCAGAAGTTAACAAAATTACTATTTTAGTGTTAATAACAAAAAATTATGAAGGGAGCTTATTTGTAGTCTCTAAACTGAACCAGGCAATATACCACATTCTACATGTAATGTCTTTATTAATACAACTACTAATTAAGTACCTACTGTTATTTCTATTTTAAATCTGCAGGAGCTGAAATCCAGAGGTGTTAAGTAATTTTCTCAAGGTCAGACAACAGTAAATGAACCAAGATTCAGAGGCAGGTCTTTCTCATTCTAAATCATAGGTGCTTTGTTTTATTGTGATATTGCTTCACACTCAAAAAATGGGAATACTGACTGGTTCTCCTCTGCTATTTTGAAGTGAAAATTTAGAAATTTATATAGCAAAAAATATATTAACAAATATTGCTAGTGGGTATGTGAAATACCCACTATTTGGGGCAACTGACAATTGTTTTGTCATTCAAATGACTTGGTTAAATGATGAGGAGAATTGCACATTCAATATTTTTCAAGAAGTATGTGACTATAGGAAGTCTGAATATGGATTGGTATATTTGCCATAGGCAAACATATAATTTTGATAAGGTTTTTATGGAGGCACATCTTCTGAAATGATTCAATAAACTAAGACATAGAAAATGAAATTACTGCCATTTAAGTCTGTCTCTGTATTTTTTTCTTCTTTTGTTTCTAATGTTAGGGATAGAAAAAGTTGGTGTTTATTTGGGAGTATCACACACATTTGCCTTCTTGGTGAGTATAATATGGCAGTGAAAATAGTAATCGGACTAATAATAGTACATCTAAAGGATGATACACAGAGTTAGCAAACAAAGTAAAAAACCACTCAAGAAAGGAAAACATGGAAAAATCTGTCCTCTCAACGCTCTTCTTCTGGGTAATAGACACTTTATGCTTTGGTGGCCAAGAGATGTTTTTATGTGGACTGAAAAATATGCTGCTTTTTAAAATTTCTTCACTCGTTTAAAATTCCCCATAATTCCAGTGCTGTCCTCTGTCTTCTGAACAATGTGTGCCTCAGTGACAAAATTACTGATCAATAATTAATTACCTTACTGAACAAAGAGCACTGCTCAGCCCCTTGCTGATGCTGTTTTGTGGGTATTCAAATGTGTTCATGAGTGTTCTGAAGATCTTGTTTAAACATTCCATGTAAATGTGTACTCATCACATTGTCAATGATTTGCAGACATATTTAACATCTGGTTTCTGTAAGGCTTTTGAAGTATTTGATATTTCACACAAACATCACTGATTGTATCACTGTGGCAAGGGACTAAGATGCCACTGAGGGTTGTAAATTTTGTTTCTTTCTCTTAGTTCTCACTTGTTCTGTACACTCTCATCAATGCTGCAGATTCTTCTTTGTGACTCATATGTTCATTTTATGTTTCCTGAAACTATAATAGATATTCAGGGCACATAGTGCATTTTCTATTCAGTTCATTGTCAACACTCTTGTCAAAGAAGAACTGCTACACATGCTATACACACATGCTGCTCCTTGTAGCTGGAAAAAACTGCCTTTCTCTTCTTGTCCTGGCTAACTACTCAAGGTAAGAGTAGCCCCATGTGTTAACGTTCTATGCTCAAGCTGATCATATTCTAATTTCCTGTTAGTTTTTTTTTTTTTTGCTCTTCCACTAGGCTGCAGTAGAAAGGTAATATGTTTCATTAATATTTTATCCCCATCCCCCAAACATGCCATAATTACATAATAGGTATTTTCTAAATGCTTGAAAGTCTGTTATCAAATACTTTTTATAATCATAGTGCTGGAGTAAAAGTCATATGTGATGCTGAATACATCCTGACTCTGAAAACAGGGAGGCAGTGTAAGCTGGCCCATGGACTAATGACTTATGCAGGTTGGGGTGATGGTGTGTTCATGTAAGTAGCTTCCTAAATTGGGTGACTTTGAAAGCATTCACAGTTCTCACAGACCCAGAAAAATTGTATTCTGATGCCAAGGCAATGCTATTTAATTTACCCAATTTTTCCCACTATTTGAGTTACTTGTCTTAGTTAAATGATATATGGGGCATCATTTTTATAATGCCTAGGTCCCCAGGTAAGCAAGAAAACATTCTGGTTGTTGTCTTCTTCATGCAGGAGCCATGTGTTAAACATTTAGCCAAAAATTTACAATAATAAAGTGTTAGCATGTCAAAGAGAACTTAGGACTGCCACTACTATGACCTCTTATGGTGTAGACACCTCACTTAATGTAGACATTTCTCAAAATTTAATGTATTTATCGAACAGGATCTATTCAACACACAATATGGCCCCAATCTCACAAGCCAACTATTTGGCTTATACATAAACATTCCTCTTTCCCAGTACTGGTAGAAAATTCGGCCATATCATATTTTTGAGAACTCTGTAATAGAGACCTTTCTCTTGGCAGTCTGATTTTATATGTGATCTTCAACTCCACCCAAATGGTCTTAAGAATGCCGGAGGATACACAAAAACACATCATGGCAACAGCTCTGGATGGCCAGAGTAGCCTGGTGCATGTATTTATCTAGGACGGTCCTAGTCATAACGTGGCCACATCACTGGCATGGGGAGCAGTGAAAAAAGAAAAACTTTACCTGCTTCTGGTTCTGGTATGTGGTCAGTGCCCAAGGAGTATGGGTCATGTGTTGAGTACCCTTTTCTCTCTTGTTTTTATCACTTTGATACAGCTCTTCTTTCTTCCCAGAAAATTAACAGCTCTATTCTCTTTTCCCCTGATGAAGTATC